CGTCTGCATTTGAAATCTCAAATGTACCCGATCTGTATATGAAGATATTGCTTATAATTTTACGGATGGCTACTATAAATAATATCGATAATATTTATATAGAGAAAAATAAATATTTTTTCTCACACATTACCCATCTGAGATCCAACAAAGACCTTCTGCATCTCTTGCAAAAGATTTTGTAAATACTTCTACTTTATCAGCAACCATAAAGGCACTATAAAATCCAACTCCAAACTGCCCGATAATTTTGGATGTATCATTAGAGTTTTGTTCTTCCTTCAGTTTTTCTAAAAATGCCTAAAATACATATATATCTATGTATACAAATGCTTTATATATATATAAATAAAGTTTGAAATATCATATATATAATACATATTTTATAAATTAAAAAAAATAAAAATATATAACCAAAATGATTACCTTAGATCCAGATCGAGCTATAGTTCCCAAATTGGATATCAATTCTTCTCTAGTCATTCCCACACCAGTATCTTGGATTGTTAAAGTACGATTTTGTTTATCAGTGCCAATATGTATCTCCAAGCTTCTATCACCAGCTACTTGTGTAACTTCGCTGTCGCTCAGACATAAGTATCTTAATTTCTCTAGTGCATCACTAGCATTTGAAACAAGCTCACGTACAAATACCTAGTAGATTAAGTGATATAAGTGATATAATCACTATAGTTTCTAATAAATTCATAATTTATTACCTCCTTATCTGAATATAAAGACTTTGCGACAATTTGTAGCAACATTTGCGTCTCAGACTGAAATTCATGCTTGGCACTCTCACCTGCATATAATAAAATATATTGCACCTGTTAATTTTTCTAGAAAACAATTTTAGATATAATGATCTTAATTACAACTAAGGACTTGCTGTAATAGTAGGCTAACCCTCAATGGAGTCAAATATGTAATAAGTATTGGTATTTTTCCATTATTTTATAACTTTAGAGTTTATTTATTATGTTTTTACAAATTGTTGGCTAGTTCATTATTGCAGCAAGTCCTTCAATTGAATATATTACCTGTAGCTTTCTCTGTGTCTTTTATAATATTATGGTACTCTGTAGTTTGAACCTCTGGTTGAGATGACAAATGTCGTGCATAATTGTAAATAACTATAAAATTAAAAATAATTTATATATTCCTTGATATCAATAAAATACAACTGAGAAATGCATTACATAAAAAAAAACAGATTTACAGAAAAACAAAAAAACTATAAAATAGAATATATTCGCAATAATGCGCAACATGCAAAAGTAAAATATTTGTTGGACACGATAAAAATAAAAGCCTGACAAACCTGGTAATCGTTGTGACTGAACTAATTTCTCTTGCAAATTTCTATTTAATAATCTTGAAAACGATTTTCCTAATCTAAAAGCGTGCTTAATTCTGAAGGCGGCTGCCATTTTCAAGTATACATGGAAATAACGTCTCGGCGCTAAACCAAAGCGCAGTGACACTGCCGTACACTGTATGACTGTACTTGACTATACGTCACTGGGTGTATTCAGTACTACAACCGCTCACTGAGCGCTCAGTGAGCTCTTGCATCTGATTGGCATATTCCGTTAGAACTAAAAATATAGACCAAACAGATACAAGAGATCTCTGAGCGCTCAATGAGCGGTCGTGTCTGTAATCTGTATATGCATTAGACCGGAATCAGACTAAGGGCCCTGGCACACAAAAAACTTAAGGCAGTAAGACGTAACCAGTAAGGAAATCAACATGTTGGATTCGCTACTGCTTATGTTATGGCCTTATGGACTCTACTGTGATTGGTCAATTCGCTTACTGCTTACATTTTACTGCTTAAGTTTTTTTGTGTGCCATGGCCCTAAGCATTAAAGATTGAGATTGAAGATTGAAAGATTGAAATTTGACCAATCAAAACAATAGAAGCTAAAATTCTTTTGCCCTCATTGGTCAAATTTCAATCTTCAATCTTCAATCTCAATCTTCAATGCGTAGTCTGATTCCGGCCTTACACGTATTCTACAATAAGCCATTAGTCATAAATTAGAAGTTAGAAGCTGGAAATTGACGACTGTAATTGGTTAATTTCCAGCTTCTAACTTCTAATTTATGACTAATGGCTTATTGTAGAATGGCCATTACATCTACACCAATCTACACGGTGGAACTAGTGGAAGAAACCCAGTATGCTTTTGCGCATAAATTTATAACTAATTAGCCAATGAGAAAATAATGCCGTATGCCGCCATGTTGTCGCGGTTATTTTATACATGCCATTTTTAACACTAACTTTTTTCCGCAAGCTTCTTTCGCTTCTAACGTTTTTCATTGGCAGAATTAGTGCGCACTCAGCGCACTTTAAAGTCGTTGTACACAAATCGATATAAAGATGGATTTAATAAAAATATAGAAACGAATTAAACTGCGAAATCCTCAATACATTTTATTTTGTGTTATTTGATGAAATATATATTGGGCATTTTATCAGTTGAAATATCCTACTTTTACATTCAGATTAATGTATAACAGCATTAATGCATCGAATGCGTATCAGATCTGCCAATGAAAAACACTATACATATCTTAATAGAGACAAATTTTCTTAAAATATTATAAATAAATATAATTGAAATATAATTGTAATATAATTTGAATATTTTATTAATTAGTAACAAATAAAAATTATATTTCAATAATCATCGACTATATCGCAAAAAAAATGCTTATTGTAATTGATAAATGATTTTCTTTATATATATAAGGGAATAATATATTTTTTCAAATAAATGCATACAGTTTCTTATTTTAAAAAATGCGTTTGCAATTGCATATGCAAACAAATGGTTTACTAAAATGAAGGAAATCTTTCTTCATTTTTTTATTAGAATATTTTTATTAGTATATTTTTTTTCAGTGTACATTAAAAAATTCCTTAATTTAAAGAATTAATAAATAAAAACAATTTTTGTATATGTGGTATAACTTGACAAAAATTACTAAAACTTTAAAAAACGCATATTCTCCTAACAAAATACCTATTTTTTGATCCAGTATTTAGTTAAATAAATTATTCTAGTTCGAGCTTGATATATGACATATATCTCATTAATCAAGAATAAAAAAAATAAAATCTTCGTAATAAAATTTTTTTACCTCTATTAGTAACTCGACCTAGTATCATATTTAATTAAAATATAATGGCATTTAGCTTAATGTGAAATAAATTTGTTTAATAATCGCATTTACTGTGTTCAACACGAGGACATGTGCGTTAAACATGTGCGTTAGATACATGTGCCAGAGATGTGCCAGAGGTGCTCAAAGTCCAAATCTTTGTTTCACGATAAGAAAACAGGCAAGATAATCCTTCGAAAATTGAACACGCGATAAAGAATAAACTAGAGAGATCTCTTTCAGCTGTTCTTCTTCATGAACTTACAATGCCTTATACACTGCTATTATCGTCTCAAATAGTGCATTTAGAGGAATGAAAATTCATTTATGAAAACGAAAAAAACTGCAGGTGAAATCGTGTCTTGAGAAGCGAAGTATATAATCTATTGACACAGAGAGACGTTAACGAGCGTACATATCATGAGTCTTAAATATTTTACCAGTCGTAATAACGCTCGTTATCATGATTACCTTTTATTTTTTCTCGGATTCGCTATAATATATGAAATTATTACACAAATCATTATGTAATTATGAATATATCAAGAGATTATGTGAGCAATAAACGGTGAACAAATGATCGATTCCCTCTATGATCCCAAAGAAAATTCTTTTCCGTAGTCAAGAGAGACAAGCGTGATCAGAATGATCCTCGTTGTCCTGTGCATCCTCGTGCTGTCACTCGGCAATGACGTAACTGCGTCATTTCGTGTCGACGACGTTCTCGTAAGATTCATTGTCAACGCGACGCCCACTCTGTTCTCACCTTCGAGAGTATTTCTACAATTGTGCATTAGCTATGGCAAGATTTTCATATTTATGATTTCTATATTGATTGTTCATCAGGGAAAAGAGAGCGCTAGAAATTTATAGCAACTATAGCTGCATCTACATAATTATACGAAAATACGCTAATAGAAAAAATAGAAAATACTCTTTTCTACACGATAAACAGATTGAAATTCGTGAATCAAAATATCATAGCAAGACAGTTCTCAGAAAAATAATAAGTTAAAAAAGTATTTGCCATCTTTTTGTTCCGAGCTTTTTTTTTAGATATAAAAGTTTAAAGCTGACCAATTATAGATTATAATTAAAAGTCTTACCTACGTTTAACTGTGCCTTAAAATGGATTTAAAATATTCACATATAGATATTATAGACTTAAAAAAATTATTATCAATTTATTTCCATTTTAGACTATTCTTGTTAAATAAATTCAATCAATATATATATATATATTATATATATGTGTATTCTATATCGAACTATCAATTTTTTCTCCCGCGGTACAGAATTTTTAAATTTTGCTACGTTATTTGATTACGCAATAATAAAAAAAACGAATTAGTTGAATAATTTCACTAAAATTTTTATTTATATATATTGAAGACGTTCGTAGAGTTTCTCAATTTCATTGTATACATGGAAAGGACGGTTTTATTGAAGTATCTAAAAACTGTGAACTAAATATAAATCTGAAAATAATTTTGTTGGACCATCAAGGTATTAATTACATATGTATAAGGACGTTATTCAAACTGATTAATAGAATATCAAAACTTCTCTTGCAGCATTGTTCATCATGCTGGAGATTCCTACATAATTATTTTGATGTTCCAACAAAATTATTTTTTTATCTATATCTAACTCAATTTTTAAATACTTCAACAACTTCGTTTTTTCCATATATGTAATGCAATTTCTATCTTTTTACTTTATTAATAAAAAGTAATGTATAAAAGATAATTTATCGAAATTAAATATAATATCCTTTCACAGATGACACGATTAAATTATCAAGAATATTATCGAGCAATTACTTGATGCATAACATTCGTAATTTTTACGAGGAACTTGATCCGAAGATTTACAATGACTTAGAACATCAAAATCTGTATATGTTAAATTTAGATTGCGATTATGCCATTGATATTTTACGTCAGGTAATATATGGTATTTATGTCCGTCATAAATAATTATATATAGTCAAAAAGATATAAAAATAAGTACTGTCATCATCTAATATAAAATGATAGGCACATTCAAAAAGGATGTTTGTCGCCCCGACAAAGTGGCTGCTTTTTCAAGATCGAAAAACGATGACTGATAACGATAATAACGTCAATTTAACTTTTACATATAATGACACTGTGTTGGAAATTTTCGAGGATTTGGCAATCTATCCTGATAGCGACGTGATCCTCGCGCGAATATTTGATGGCGATTTTATCGAATTATTATCCATATATCGACCAAGTCCACAAAGAGGTGTAATGTGGGAAAATCGTGGAAACTGGACACTTGAAAACGGTCTACGAATGAGCACTTTCGATGTAGCATCAGCACGAAGAAAAGATCTTCAACAGACAGCTCTTAAATCTTGTTTAGTGGTACTTTGAAGTATATAATTATCACGCAAGAAAATACACTTAAAGATTAGATTTAGAATTAAAGATTACACTTAAAAACTAAGATTTAAATATCAATGAAACGTCAAAACATTTTGTAGGCAAGCTAATGTAATATGTGCATTTTGCTATACTAGATGAAAAGCAGAGCAAGTAAAGTACTAGCCATGTCCATAATAAATGAAAACGCCATGATTAGTCTCCATTTTAAGTATCAACTTTTTTTAACAGAAGAAATATTTTCTTTTAAGTTTTATTACAATTGCAGATGACGGATCCTGATACAATGAATCATTTGACTGACTTTAAGGATAAAACCATAGATCCTGTCACAAAGGTTAATTATCCTTGGGTACTGCATTTAGTAAATCGAATGAATGCAACGTGAGTTCAACCTTTAACAACATCGTATCAGTACCAAAATATTTTGTTAGAATGTTTATGAAATAAACCCAATGATGATTATAATTTGTAATGAATTATCTTACTAATTCTAAAATCGCGAATGTATGCTTTCAAACAACGTAATAAATTCGAGCTCGAGATTAATTAATGAGGCCATATATAGAGTGAAGAAATCAGGCGATACACAGATGTAAAAAAACAGTTTTACATTGTTTTTAACCGGATAATAGTATATGATCAAATGCATAAATGGAGCGATTCGTATATAATCAAATAAGTGCATGACATACTTACTTATTAATTGTAACCGACAAAATCACATGATTACCATATTTTTGCTTTAGGGTAAGTTTTGAAGTTACGGATACCTGGGGATTTCTCAGCAAGAATGGTTCCTGGAGCGGAATGAGCGGGATGTTGCAACGACGTGAAATCGATATTGGCGGCACTGCTACATTTTTCGTGCCGGAACGTGTCGGTGTTGTACAATTCATTCAATTGTATACAAATACGGAGTAAAAAAAATTATTATTATTTATCAAATTAAAACGTAATTTAATTAGTTTTCTACATCTTTTTAATGACAACATTAGGGAGAGACAGGAAATAATTAAAACTTCAGTTAAGATTTATAATTTAATTTTTTTTTTCAATATAAACTTAATTAAAAAAGATGATTAAACTGCTATTATAATTTTAACTTTTTATTATATTATTCTCCATTTTACTATACTGCAATTATCGATATTTTATGTACAAATTTGCATAGCCTACGCTTTGTATTTCGGCGACCTTTACTGTCGACTGTCAGCAACATATTTATTCTGCCTTTTCAACGAAACGTCTGGATAGCGCTTGCAATATTTCTTCTTTTGGTCTTCTGTTTGCTCTATTTATCCATCAAATGGGAATACTATCGCAGTAGTAAGACAAAATCAGCAGCCTACTGGAAACAATTAAATCCCAACAAGCAAACGATCAGCGATAATTTTTTTATTCTTTTAGGCGCATTTTCTCAGCAAGGTAGAGAAACAATTTTCGATAATATAATCGTAAATTTAAAATATTATTAAAATGATTCACAAATATCAAAAATCTCTGAAATAAAATTTTATCTTTCTCGTGCAAATACATAAACCAAAACATTTACTATACTAAAAAAAATTATTATTGCTAAGTGAAATACTCTGTTATAAAGAAACAATTTACTATAAAAATAGTCCTTAGTTAAAAACATTTAAGGTATTCGAGAAAATAATTCTTTACCATTGCACATTTTCTAGAATGAAAAAATACGTTCTTATATAAAACTTGAGTTTAATAAAAGTAAAGAAATGTTATCGCCAGGAAATATTTACAATATATTTTTTTAAATAAAGAAAATATTTCTCTTACGAAAAGTAATTTCATTTTTAAAACAATAAAAAATGATCTTACTTTGAAAATATAGATTCTTGTACGTTGTTGCAATTAAAACTTTGTATAACCACCTTTTGCTTGTATGATTATATGTCGAGACATATGTACTTTCGGATATGCTGCTAATCAAAATTTTTCTATGCTTTTCCAATTCTCTCTATTGGCAAATAATTGTTTTTGTTCCGACGAAACATTCTCTTCATTAACTATAAATCATTTGTTTTAGAGATATTTTATTGAAATAAAAAGATTTTATTGGAAGTAATTATTTCTTTCAATTCAGAATTTATAATTCAAGAAAATGTATTTATTTAAAACAAGTAATATTTTTTTCTGTGTATTTTATGATCGTACGGATTAAATTTTTTTTATTTCGTTCCACATAAAATTTATAAAATTATTGTTCTTCTGTCTTGCAGGATATTCGTACGAGCCCTACAGAGTTTCATCTCGAATAGTTACTCTTATGTTATTGTTTGCCTCGCTAAGCTTCTATGCGGCTTATACAGCAAATATCGTGAGTTTATTGCAATCTACCACGGATTCTATCAAAACTCTTCCGGATCTTTTAAATAGTCCTTTAAAGATGGGTGTGCACAATATAGTATATAGTAAATATTATTTCCAGGTTAGTAGATTAAAATTATAGAAATTAATAATATGAAAACTTTTATTATGCAATTATATTTGTGTTATATAATTTATTGTCAAATACTTGGACTTATTATGGTACGAAGTTATTAGTAGCAAAAAATATATAATTGAAAAATAAAGTTCTTTGTGGGATGATAGTCTTTCCGAGATCCCGTTAGAAAGGCGATCCTGGAACAGCGAATCGAGCCGAAAGAAAGCAAAGCTAACTGGATATCTGTAGAAGAAGGTGTAACCCGTATAAGAAACGACCTCTTCGCATTCCATGGTGAGATTGGTACGATTTATCAGGAAATGCAAGACACGTATTTGGAGGAAGAGAAGTGCGGTTTGACTGAGATCGATTTCCTAAATCACATATATCCGCTTCTTGCGATACAAAAGCAATCACCATATTCAGAGATATTTAAAACTGGGTAAATGATAATACCTCGAATTATTTTCACGTAACCATGACGTTTTCAAATCTTTAAAGGAGAATGTTAAAATATCATTCTTTATTATATTCAAGCCATTCTAGCAAATGTTCTCATCGTTTCTTGGATAAACGATTGTTGATTATTTTCTATCTCCTGACTCAAACAATAATTCTTCAAGGTCTATTCAGATGTATAAAGACTCGATACTTTTTTTAGCACTCTCTTTTACATAAAACTTCTTGGAAATTTAAAGTCTAACATAAAAATACGTAGTTTTAAAAGCGGATTTTATTGGACGTTATTTCTAAGAACGTACTATGTGAACGTACGAACCAATCTTATGATATAATCCTCGTTCGATACTCAGAAATTATGTTTTCAGAGCTCTAAAATTACGAGAATACGGACTTAAATATCGCGAGGAATATCTCTTATATACGAGAAAACCAGTGTGTTCGAGTCAGACTAGATTCATCACTATCGGTTTCACGGAATGTTATTTCGCGCTAGTTATAATAGGCTACGGAATACTCCTATCTGTAATCGTATTTGTGTTTGAGTTATTATGGCATAAGAGGTAAGATTTAAGAAACTTCATCACCAGGCTTTGTTCTACTTGTTATGTTTTTTTCTTGTAGACAAACTATGCACGCGATAAAAGAAATGTCAAATTCAGAAACCAACAGTGTGGAATGCCTTGATTAAATGCCTACAGAAATGGATACTAGTCCGAAAGAAATCAAGAGGCATTTGACTTTCCTGAGCTTTTTGTTGCACTAAATCTAATCGAATTGAGAATTTCATAAAAAAAAAACTTTATTAGAGAGATTTTTATTACTTTATTGAACGTATGCATCTTTTAGTAATAAGGGTGAAATGTGAGTCTATATCATTTTGATATGTTATTGTCATTTAATGTAATATAAAATTACCAAATCTATACGCTGTTTTGTTCCTTTAATAAAGTCAACAATCCCTTTTATTTAGAAAATACTGTATGGAATAGATTACTAGTAAAATGAGAGAGAGAGAGAGAGAATGCATATAATATAATTAATAAATCTTAAAAGTTTTTATTTATTATTTTACATACACAATTTGAAATTAATTACTTACTTACAAAATAAAATAAATAAATTTTACAAATTACGATAATTCACAGTTAAAATCAACCACGACAGCAGCGATATGTAAGAATTGGTTGCGTTCGACAGAGAAAACTGATCAGTGAGCGCTCAGTGACCAGCTTTTTCTGTTGAATTAATGCAATCGTTAGTTCAAGTCGGCAAAGCGACTAGAGCTACGTTCCAAAACGTTTTCTCCAAGGAAGATTTTACCCTATATATTATACTATAGTATATATGTTATTATACATTTCGAGTAAAATTTTTCTCGTTATAAAATTTTCGTTATATAAATGCGCGACGCACGTATACCTATTCCTCAGGCTGTAACTACAGAAATATTTCGAATCTTCGGTTTAAAACTTCACGAGTATATTTTCTGAGAGTAACACTATTGATTAAAGCAAAAAAAAATCGAAAATTTTGACCCTCTAAACCAGGTTCCCTTCTTAAAAGAATCCTAAGCCGTCTGTATTACCAATTAAATCATAATTTTTGTATAACAAATACTTTTTTCTCTTTCACAGATTCGAAAGTCCTTTTCCAGGATTAAAGTATACACAAAAAATTTCGAAATTGAAATCTTAAGAAAAATTTTTTATCGTTCTCGGTATAAACTCCACCTCACAAACATGTATTAATGTGTATACTTTAATCCTGGAAAAGGATTTTCGAATTTGTGAAAGAGAAAAAAGTATTTGTTATACAAAAATTACGATTTAGTCGGATACAGACGGCTTTAGAATCCCCTTAATTAGAATGTATTCTTGGTCTGTTTGCCGAACAATTGAATAGTTGGATCCATCTGGTAAGATAATACTTATTCGCTCGACAAGCATGTGTATCCATGGTGATTCCACCATGGTCTAGCCGCTTTGCCGGCGATACTGGCTTGAACTCGCCGTCTATTATGATGTATACAAAACAGAGGCCTGTTCTTTTTGACTGAACTTTTACATCAATTCATCTTTCTTCCTCTTCTTTCCTCCTGAAGAGAAAAGGAAGAAAGGTGAACTGGTGCAAAAGTTCAGCTAAAAAGAAACAGACCTAAGGATATTTGGGAACTGAAAGTTATAACAGAGAAACGAATAATTTTATATGAAAAAAAATAAGTCAGAAATTTAAAATAATCTTTTCGTATAAGATTTGTTTTCGAGAAAATCGACTTTAAATATTCGCCGAATTAATTCGTCGCGATAAATTAAAGTACATAAAAGTTTACTTACAATTACAAAAGAATTGTGTAGGTATTCGACAGAATAGGCAATATTTTCACACACACACACACACACACACACACACACACACACACACACACACACACACACACACACACACACACACACACACACCCATTTATAATGTAATAAAATTCATCGCGCGTGAATGTCCTGTTTATATTACGTATTCCTGATTACCTAGTATCAGAAAACACCATGTGCCTCGATTGCTTGTGCTTACACCATGGTGTAAATGTATTATTACACCATGTGCTTACACGAGTGTAGTGTATTGATTCCTGCACATAGAACGCGGCAACGCTAGCCATTCGACGAAAATTGACGCGAGAGCCAATCAATTTCGTTTTACCATAAAAGCGAAAGAATGATTGGCTACTGCACTACCTTCTCCAAAATGTGAGGCGTAGCCAATATAAGTTAACATGTTTCTAACATGTTCATTGGTTTCCGCATCGCATTTTGCCACGTACATTGTATCCAGTGTACAGAAGCCATTATTGCAGGTTACCACGTCACATCTCACATGAGCGTGATATTGTCACGTTGTGTACAGGAACCATTACCGCATCCTTTTTATTCGAAGTCTGCGCAATCTGCGAGAATCATACCGCTAAATGCAGATTAAACGGAATAAGAGTTGGACGCATATGTGCGGGTAAGTACATTTCATCCTGGCAAAAAAGTTTTACGAAAAATTACATAGATAAGATCTTAGAAATTATTAATTTTTCATAGATATTCGTAGTGGGACGTAGAGCGACGTAGTTTCTTTGAAAAACCTACAAATCATCCACCCTCAAACAACGGCACTCTATAACGTCCCACGAATATCTACGGAAAACTAAGAACCTCTGAAACAAACAAACCTCTACGTCCCACTACGAATATATTTACGAAGAATTAAGAATTTCTAAGATTTTGTCTCAATCTATGCAGTTTATCTGTATTTTTTCGTAAAAATTTTTTTTTCGTCAGGCACTTTCCCTCATAAAAAACACTCCTGTTAACATTTGATACATTATTAAAAAATGTGATCGTACATATCGAATCATCTGATTAATTAAAACAATTTGTACAAAGATTGGGAATGGTAAAATGCAAAAAATGCAGTTTTTACGTGTCAATGAAGGAGAAGAACAAGACGATACCGAAGGTATCGAAGATTAGAGACAAGAAAATCAAAGACAGAATAAAAAGAGCTATAGTTGTACGAGAAATTAGGATTGCCCTAAAAATGATAGAAAAATTGCCTAACAGTGATCGAACAAATCGAGATAAAATTCTAAAGAGACTTAGAAAATGGTTACGTATAAGAGGATCACAGAGTTCGTTTGGTAAGTCAATTTTTGCACGTTTATATAAATTGCATAAATTTATACACAATGATTTTCCAGTTCTTTACTGTACATACAAGGTAAATTAGAGTAGTTGAACCAATTTTTTACCCTATGAGAAAATTATCGACCTCACACCTAATTATCGACTTAGCAATACAGATCAGATGTGTGGATACATCGTGCGATTGTTGGTCTGGGCGCGCCGAGAAAAAGGCGCATTTTTAATATCTTCGTATAATAAAAATAAAATCAACAATTTTCACAACTCAATGTCAAACGTGTCTGTTTTCGCGCTCAAATCAGCAGTTCGCACGATGTTATTCACGCATCCGAACTGTATTGTTAAATTGATAATTAGGTGTATATTGATATTATAGTATAGTTGATATTTTCTCATATCCCGGTAAAAAATTTTTCATGCATGAATATGTATAAATATGCATAAACATACATAAATATTCATTAGTGTAATAGAAATAATAATAGTAATGTGAAAATATAAAAAATAATTAAAAGGATAATTTTCGCATTGTTCGTTTCAGAAAAAAACAAGTTTTGAAAAATATAAAAAAAATTGATCATACACAATTATGCATACTTTTATGTATAATTATTATACATAAGTAATTTTTTACATTTCTTCACAAACTTCATTTTTTCAAAAACAAATAATGGAAAAATTACCCTTAATTATTTTTAATGTTTCGAGTAATGCTAATGTTCGCGGTAATTGAATAAAATGTATAGGTAAGATATACATGCATGGTTTTGATATACTGTATCTCCTCGAAAAAAAATCGTACAAAGCTTAAACTTTTTTAATTTGTAAGAGGAAAGTCCATACTTTACGATGTTTATCATAACATTTACGAAAAAAATTTACTCCATCCCGTAAAGTGCGTCAAACTATACAAATTTCTTAAAAGAAAAACACTTCCTTATTTTTGAAAAAATGCCAAGTATAGGGATAAGGACAGATTCAAAATCCATTGAAAGCTTCGTAAAGTACAGACTTTACCCTTGAAAATGAAAAAGAAACTTTTAAATGCGACTATTTTTCGCGGAGTTACGCTTATTTGAATTTATGCGAAATTTTGCTATAAATTTACCTATGCGATAATTTTGTTAACGAGTGTAATTATATAAAATTATATAAAATAATATACAAGGTGTCTAGTAAATACTGATAAAACGCTCGCGTGTAGATAGAACGAACTGAACTGAGTCGAAAAGTCCTCTACCATTTTGCAATTTTCGCAATAGTTAGTAAGATATTAATAATAAAAATTGCCGAATATTGATCTTCAATCATTTTTTTCTCAAATACTATCAGCTTAACAGAAAAATTGCAATAGACAAAAATTGTTTATTTTTTCTTCTTAGAGTTCTGGAATTTTAAGAATTTTTTCAGAATTTTTTATCAACTTTTTAGTATTGCATTTTCTTATTGGCAACTATTTTTATCAACATGAGAAAATATGGTATTAAAAAATT